GCAGGGGAGGGGTTAGAGGAATTTGTTCTGTGGATTTTTTTCCATACCCAGCCATCTTTGCTATTAACATGTCATGGCTCTATGTGGAAAGTTGTCTACACTAAAGCTGTTTATGGGAGAGCCTGTCTCCACCACAGCTGTTTGTGTGATCTCTTCATGCCATGGCACCGCTTATAAGAGTCTTTCTATGCCGTGACTGTGTGACACTACCCTGACCATGATGTAGCCCTCTGTGGGTGGCACTGTCTCTTTCTGCTGTGACTCTGTGTGAGTAGCACGCTCTCTATGTTGTGACTATATTAGTGGCTTTCTCTGTGCTATGACTCTGAGTGGCTCTCTTTCTCTCTCATTGGCAGTGTAGAGATGTGTTCGATGAGGTTGTATATGGGTGGTCGGATCCATTGGCCAAATTTTACTGACATTTTTATGGCTCATATAGTATTTGAAAAATGTTCGAATTATTTTAAAACACAGGCATTTTCATAATAAACCCCCTAGTGTTAACTTTTCTGGAGAAATTGGGAGCTCTGATTTAGAGGTGGTAGCTGTCCCTGCAGAAGAGTCAAGCCCCTGCTCATGGCACCTTCAGCACAGGCCTTGGAGCCCTGGAATGTACTGTCATTGGTTTAGAAAGTTCTAGACTTGGAACACCTCCCACTAGGTTGAGTGACTCTGGGGTTTGCTGGAGTTTCCGTTCCCACCTGTCAGCCATGTGTATGTGTGTACCAGGAATACACTACGGTGGGGTGGGTTTTTGGAACAAGCACTTCCTGGTAATCTATGGACTTGGAAGAAACTCTCCCCAGCACCTTTGGTGATAATTTAAACCATTTCTTTCCTTCTCTCTTTCTCAAAATTATAATGTGTTTTAAAATGTGATTTTATAAATTATTATTTTACAAGGGCCACGTTGTCCGCATGGTGCTTTATAGGGTCTATCTGGCCACAGCTGGAGCAGCACTTCTGGGTGTTTTATGGCAAATTATTCTCAGATTACCCTTTAATGCAGGAAAGGCTGCCTGTTGTCTGAGCTCCCCCAGTCATACAGAAACCCCAGCCTTGATACAAAACAGCTGTCTGTGTTCCAAGGAGGGGCATTTCAGGCAAAGACAGAAGGGCAAAGTTTTTCATAGCTGGTAGGGGTTTTGAAAAATGTTTAAGTTACTCTTTCCTTGCCATTAAAATGTGATTTAATTTTGTTACCAACAAATTGTGTAAATCTAAGAGAAAGTAACGTGAAAGGAGTTTGTTAAGAGTGTTCTGGCAATACTTACACCGTGTCCTGAGGGGGTGCTCCCCAGGGAGGCCAGCATAAAACTCCTGCTGACCTCTGTGTCCCTGGGCCTCAGTCTGGCTTGGCCAGGGTCACGGGGGCAGCTCACAGACCTCCCTCCCCTTTCTCCTCTGGGCCCCTGCTGAGACCAGCAACAAAGGGGCCAATTGTCTGAAGCATCCCCCTTGTCTGTAGGGCTCCAGGAGCCTTTCTGAATGCCAAAGTGTATCCATGCATGTTGGTGTGTATATACATATGTATATGTATATGCATGGGATGGTTCTTGCCCACATGTGCATGTAGCATCTGTACAAACACATGCATTCATACATATACACATTTGAGCAAGCATGTGGATATATATGTACATATGTATATATACTGTGAAGATATGTGTGAGTATATATGCATGTATTTACATGTATATGAACAGATGTATCCATGTGCACACTAAAGCATTTTGTGTGGATGTGTGTATGCATGCATGTGCATGTGAGTGCATAAGATACATGCAACTCACTTAAAAGAAATTTTGCGTCACTGGTGCATCTAAGCAGAGCTGGAGTAGTCAGTGGGGCTCCTAAGGCTGAGGGAATAAAAGGTCTAGCTCCCTTCCCAGCAGGTCCCACAGATTCCTTTATGTGGCATTCTCTCTGGTGTGGAAAGTTAGATCTGTTTCTCCTTACTTGCTTTCCCTGGAGGAAGCCCGAGAACAGGCATAGGGAGAGCAGGTATAAAGAGTCTCCTCACTTTGCCTCATTGGCCTGTCCTGACCTGGGCTTCCAAGCTAGACCCCCCCCCCCCAAGATTGTCTGTTCCCTTCCTGTCCCTTCCCAAGGCTGCCTGATTGGATCCATAGTTAGAACAACTATGGGATGACCCGTCCTCATCAACACTGTGAATTAGTCCCCACTGCACCACAGGGCTCGTCGCTGTGTCCCATCATTTTGGTCCCTAACACAGACTGTTCATAGAGATCTGTAGGGATCAGTGGCTGCACTGGACTTGGGTATATGCCAGCCTGGTCTTTTGGAGTCTTCAAGGCTCAAGTTTTCTTATTTAATGAAATTGTCTTCCGAAAAAAGACAACAAAACACATTTTGCTCTGAAGCTGGGGAGAGAGAAGGAAAATGCTTGAACTTTCTGGTCTACCTCTACAGTAGTTCTTCCCAGCCCCTTTCACCAGCACAGCTGCCGTGGAATAGCTTTCTGCTTGCTTTTCCTTCTTGTTCCTCCCTCCTTGTTTCCTCTCTGCTCCCAGCGTGGGCTTATCATTCAACTGTGGAAAAGCCACAAATTAAACTTTACTCCAAAGCTTATCAAAATATTCAGTTGGTAAAATTATCTTATAATTAGCTGAACTGTAAGCCAGAAGTCTTTAACCACAGGAAATGTAATGTGACCCAGTGTGTGTGGAGTCTATATGTTGCTCATCCCAACCTTGGCTGCAGTCTCTGCTTTTCATTATTTTCCCAGTCATTTTCTCCTTGTTCTGTGTGCTCTTAATGGTCCCTGAGGCCTCAAAGAAAATACACTACAAGGTTAGCTGAGATAGATCATGGAATAAATTCAGTTAAGTGTAATATGAGATCAACTTGATTTTTTTTAATATCTTAGGCATGCAAATTTATATACTCTGTGTGGGCATGCATGTTCATGTATGTGTGTGTATATATTTATTGGGGGATGTGCATGTGTGTTGAGGCCAGGAGACAGGTGCTGTTCACCTGATTTATTTATTTATTTATTTATTTATTTATTTATTTATTTATTTATTAGGTAGGGGTCTTTCTCAGGCCTGGAACTCACCATGTAGGTTAGGCAGGCTAACCATAAGAATCTGCCTGTCTGCCCCTTCCTGATGTGGGGGTTACAAGTGCCTATCATATCCAGTTTTTTTTTTTTTTTTAGTGTGATTTCAGATGTGGTATTGAACTCAATTCCTTCTCTTGCAAAGGCAAGCATTTTTTCAACTGAGCCATCTTCCTAGTCCTTGCATGCATTTTTTTTTCCCTGTAAATTTATGCCTACTTTCCTGGGTTTACTGATGTCTTGCCATGACTGGGTCTGTATTTTGGATGATTGCAGTATTCCTTTGAATTATTATGGATATGTGCTGTTTCAGCGATATTCAGGGGATTCTGCAGTGTGGCCACCTGAAAGGCAGTTGGGCTTTCTTGTCTCAATTTCGTCAGTTTTCTCTCTTTCTCCACCTTTGTTCTCCACTCTTTCTGTGATCCCATGACTTGGAGTCCCATCTGCCATCTTGCACCAAATGTGGCAGAATCAGACATGTCATCTGCCACCCTCACCCCCAACTCTCCTGGGGTATAGCAAGGAAACATGGGTGGCGTTTGGGGATCTTAAGGTATGACTTAGGTTTTCATATAGAAACAATATTGCAAAGGTGATACTTAGGTTCTTGGTTGCTGTGAGTTTCTTAAACTGTTAATGCCTGGGCTGGGCATTAGAGGGCTCAGGAGGCTTATATAGGTTCACTGTACAATGATTACTACCTTTTCTATAATGAAGTACTTCCAAAGTTCTAAATTAAGTTTTGGGATGCAGTAACATTTTCATAGATGGGTATTACAGATAATGCTAGTACAGCAGCTAATATTGATGTTTTTTTTTTTTTTTTGCATTTGTTATGGAGTAGGCACACAATTTAACACAGCTATAAACACAAATGTAGAAATATTCATCCTCACATTATTCTGGAGAGGAAACAATAGTTCTGCTCATTTTAAAATTAGGAAACTGGCATCAAGAGCCTCGGTAACTTGCTGTTGCAACTTAACTTAGCCTGCTAACCTGACTGTTTTGCCATCCACTGTTTGCCTTGTGTGAACTGGCCAAGGGTTGTGCCTTATGACTTTGACCGTGTGTACTTGAGATGTTTCTGTGACACCTCTGTAGAGTAAGGTGGAAGTCGCGGTTCCATCTCAACCCCCTGTGGCTGCTGTGCCCAGCAGTCACATGTACCATCTCTTGAAGTTACATTTGCATTTTGGGTTTGATTTCTCTGCTGTCTTTCTAACGAGGCTTGGCTGGCCTTGAGCTGATGAGATCCCTGCAAAAGCTAAGCTAATCCCTAGGAAAGCGCTGGCCCAGGTGTCCAGTCCCTCAGTGGTCTGGTGTCCCCCTGACGCTTGTGTGGAAGAGGTAATGAGAGAACCCACTCTTGGCTTGGCTACCCTAATACAAACCTTGTATTAGCTGCATGCTGACACCCTATCCTTCGGATGCTACCCTGAAAGTTGCTCCCAGCTATGATGCTTTCTGTCTGATCCACAGTGAACTGTTCTTGGCCTTCTAGAGGCCTTTTCAAAATAGGATGGTCCCTTTAAAGGCAAAGTTGAAATCAAGGAGGTATCATTAAAGGTATTATTTGTGAAACAACAAGGGCCATTAGGAAGCTTTCAAAGGTTACTTTTATTATGTGTGTTATGTGTATGAATGTATATATGTGTATATCATGTATGTGTCTACTGTCCACAGAGGCCAGAAAAAGACACCAAATGCCCTGGAAATGGAGTTACTGCTGGTTGTGAGTCACCATGTTGGTACTGGGAACTCTGCAACAACAGCCAGTGCTCTTAACCACTGAGCCATCTGTCCAGCCCCAGACATTAAATAATTGACCGTAATGAAGAATTTTCTTGTGAATCCAGCATGTTCTTTATATTATTTAATTTGTATTTTTCTTCTTTTTTCTTAATTACAGCTTGGACTGACAATAGCCATCCGCTATAGTCACAGGTAAAGCTTTAAATTTTTTTTTTAATTAAAGAAATGTGCTTGTGGTTTAGAGGTTTTGGTTTTCTTAGGTCCTGAAGAATTTTGAGGTTTGTGTTTTGTTTTGGTTTCTCTTTTGGTGGCTGCTTTTCCACGATGTGGATGGCCCAACTGAAATTGCTCTTTGGAGGAATGTGTGGCTGTGGTGGCTTGGTTTTGGTTTTGGAGTACGTGTTGGAAGCTGGCCTCAACCTTGCTGTCCTGTCTCAGCCTCCTTAAGGCTGGGATCACAGGGTGGTGCCACAGTACTCCGTTCTGCCCCCAGGGTTGTTTACAGGCAGTCTTGCTTGTGGCTCAGCTTGACTGGTTGACTTACATCCTCCTGCCTCAGTTTTCAAAGTGCCAAGGTCACAGGTGTGACCCCTGTGTCCAGCAACATGGGAAGCTCTGTGTCAGGGCACAGATAGATGTGAGTTCTGTGTAGCATGCTGAGCCCGAGTCTGACAACCAGAGTTAGGGAATTTTTGCCTGTGAGGCCATGCCAGGCCTGGTTGAGGAGCCCTTTCCTCACCCACCTCTGTTTTGTCTTGCTTCGTGATATCTCCCTTGGTGCTAATCGCATCATGTCAATGGAAAAAAAAAAAAAAAAAACCATCATTTTCTATTGCCATCATTGCAGTCTTGTCCTATGAATGTGTTTCCAGCATCATCTTTCCTATTTGTATGCATCAATACATAGTGTGCTGAATGATTGAAAATGAAGGGTTGGTGAGCAGCACCTTCCTGTTTTCATGCACACTTTGTTCACAGCTCACAGCTTCCCCAAGGTGCCACCCTTGGGTCAAAGGCTTGCAGCTCAGGTTTATTTGGCCATCGCTCCGCAAACAACGCAAAGGTTATCAGGCTGCCCCAGACAGTTTCATGGCTGTGAGGGTGTAAAGAAATATCTTTCCCCTGTCTGTCACATAGACTTATGGCTGAGGCCCCATAACAAAAGGCAGATAATGAGAGGACAATATATTTGTTTATTCAATATGTTTTATATGAATAGAAGCTTTCATAAGGAAACTGTAGTTGGAAGTTTTTCTCTTTCTCACCTGGTTCCACTGAACCAGTTTCTCTCCTAGCCCCCCCCCCCCAGGGTCCCTGCTGCTGCTTACAAAATAATCACTCAGAGGCTAATATTGTAATTATAATTACTGACTAGATCTACCTGTAAATTATCAATTTCTATTAATCTATGTATTGTCACGAGGCTGTGGCTTACTGGTGATTCTCCAGCATGTTACTCCTTTGGTGACTCTGCTGTCCTCTCTGCCTCTTTGTTTGGATTTTACACCTCATTACATTCAGCTGGCCATTGGCTGAAACAGCTTTATTCATCAACCAATAAAAACAATGCATATTTGCAGCATACAGAAGGACATCCCACATCAGAAACAAAGACCTAAACTGAAGAAGTATGATTAGATAGGAGTAGGACCTAGAGCAGTGGTTCTCAACCCAGGGGTGGCATATCAGACATTCTGCATATCAAATATTTAAAATATGATTCATAAAAGCAGCAAACGAAATAATTTTATGGTTGCGGTCACTATAACATGAGGAACTGTATTAGAGGGTTGATGCATTAGAAAGGTTGAGATCCATTGCTCTAGTGGGAATAAACTGACAGACCATTTTTGCTCAGATCTTTGCTGTGCTCTGGTGTCTTTAGAGGTCAGGATGCTCCTTTAGGAATTAGAAGGGTGCCTCCAAAGAGTCTTACAATCTGTTTTATCAATCTTCTCTTCTGTGATTTTCTAATGCCAAGAGGACATATTTCAGAGCAACAAGTCCCAAAACCCTGTTTTTTGCCAGTGCATTTCTGAGTCAGGTGTGTGATGGTGTTTGGATGGTGTGTGCATACATAGAAACACTATCCTGAAGAAGTATAGCATTTTGTCATCAGCATGCTGCAGCTGATAGGATGCATGTCACTGGGCCCTTAAGACACATGGCATGTACTACACTGAGCTCTAGGCCATAAAGTCAGTGGGATGCTGGATGGATTGTATGGGGGAGGGGCATTGGAAATATTGAGTGGTGGTGCACACTTTAGTCCCAGCAGTTCGGAGGCAAAAGCAGATGGATATTTGTGAGTTTGAGGCCAGTTTGGCTTACAAGAAGAATCCCAGGACACCGGGTCTATTAAACAGAGAAAGCCTGTCTCAAAAAAGCAAAACAACATAAAAAAACCAAGAATGGTCTAAATGTAGACTGCTTTAGAATGAGGTGTGTGTGTGTGTGTGTGTGTGTGTGTGTGTGTGTGTGAGAGAGAGAGAGAGAGAGAGAAGCAGACAGACAGACAGAGAGACACAGATGAAGACACCAGACAGAAAAACAAAACAAAACAAAACAAAAAACGTGTCTTATATTTCTTCTCTCAAGCACTTACCACACTCACTTAGACTCTGTGGCAGATGGAATTCTCCAAAGATGGTGTTCTAGTGTCGTTTCTGTTGCTGTGATGATATATCCCAACAAAACCCAACTTAAGGGAAAAGGATTTGTTTTGGTCTCAGGTCCAGGTCACAGTCTGTTATCATAGGGAAGTTGAGGTGGCAGGGGTTAAAGCATTTAGTCACATCACATCCACAGTCAGAAGCAGAGAGGAATGAGTCTGTGTGTGCTTAGTGTTCAGCCAGCTCTCTCTTACACAGTCCAGAACCTCAGACCAAGGCTGGGTTTTCCCACATCAGGGTGAAGGCAATTGAGAAACTATGGTCTTGCTCAACCTGTGGCCACACTTACGGAGTATATTCCAGTTCTCATGGCTGTCTGCCGTCACTTATCTCCCATTTATCTAACTGGTATATTCTGTAAGTCTACAGTTTGGGGTGAGCAGTGGCAATGGCTTCTCTCTGCTTCACAGTGTCTGGAGTTTTGTGGGAAGACTTGAGGGCTGGGAGTCCTGTTATCTGAAAGCTGGGATTTGCGTCTCCAGAGGGAGGTCCCCTCTCCAGAGGGAGGTCCCCGCTGAGGTTTTTGTCATGATATTTTGTCACAGCAGCATAGGTGAAGCTAGGACACACTCTTTGGAAAGTACAGCCTGCCATAGAGTCTTAGTAAGTGAGGGATTGCTTGAGGGAGAAATGTAAGATTGCATCTTTTCTACAAAGCTCTTGCAAGAGGATGTCCAGAGGTGTGTGTGAGGTTTAAGAACAGATGCAAATGGTAGAGGAGTGAAAGGGGCTAAAGGAGGCTTTGCAGAGGAAGCAACTCTCAAACCGTTCTTATGCCCCTAAAGTGAGAAAGCAAGACAGAAGCCTAGCTGGCTCAGGAGACAACCCTGGCCCGCTGGTCGCATGGATCCTGTAGAATGCCTGTGTTTTGTTTTTGTTTTTAATTATTGTTTAGCATTTATTTGGAAGAGAGTGTGGGGTTGAAGTTATCATGTGAATTCTGGTTGTTTCCAATTGCTTCTAGGGTTTTAGTGATTCCATCTTGAACCCAAACCCAGATTCCTTTCTCTCTCCTTCCTTCCTTCCTTCCTTCCTTCCTTCCTTCCTTCCTTCCTTCTTCCCTCCCTTCTTCCCTCCTCCCTTCCTCCCTTTCTTCCTCTCTCCTTCCCTCCCTCCCTCCCTCCCCCTCTCCTTCTCCCTCCTTCCCTCCCTTCCTTCCCCTTTCCTTCTCCCTCCCTCTCTCCCTCCCTCCCTTCCTTCCCCCTCTTCCTCCCTCTTTCCCTCCCTCCCTCCCTCCCTCCCTTCCTTCCTCTCTGTCTCTCTTTCTGTGTCTTCCTTCCTTTATTTTTTACATCCCTACTACACTTTCCCTTCCCCCTCTCCTCCCAGTTCCCCACCCCATCATGCACTTCTCCCTTTCTCTTCAGAAAAGGGCAGCCTCCCATGGTATATCAAGTTGCAGTGAGACTAGGTACCTCCTCTCTTATTAAGGCTGGATGAGGCAGCAGTGGAGGAAAGATTCCCAAAAGCAGGCAACAGAACCAGAGACAGCTCCGATTTCCACCGTCAGGAGTCCCACAAGCAGACCAAGCTACACAACTGTAACATGTATGTAGAGGGCATAGGTCGGTCCCATGCGGGATCCCTGCTTGCCAGTTCAGTATCTGTGAGCTCCTATGAGCCTAGGTTAGTTGGTTCTGTGGATTATGTTGTGGTGTCCTTGACCTCTCGTCTACCTTGGCCAGCAAGGAAACACGACCACGACTCTTCTTCAAGCAGTTTATTCAGCTCCTGCTTCCCTGAGCCCCAGCAAGCCCTTAAATGTGCACTCACTGCCCAATCAGCTCATGCCACCTGGCGATCCGGGATAGGCCACAGAAGGAGGAAGCCCACCAGATCCATCAAGCACTTCCAAATAAGGCTTATTTACAGCTAAGCTGGACTACCTGGCATCCAGCCAGGCGCCATCTTGGGGCTGTGGCTTCCCACACTTGACCTCACTGGCTCCTACTGTCCTTCCTCTCCCTCTTCAACAGGGTTCTCTGAGCTCCACCTAAGGTTTAGCTGTGGGTCTCTGCATGTTTCCATCAGATCCTGCATGAAGCCTCTCTGATGACAATTGGGCTAGGCATCAATCTATGAGTATAGCAGAATGTTCTTAGGAATAATTTCAGTGACTTTTTTGCCATTTGTGTTTGGCTCTATTATAGGTCTCTGGGCTATCCCGCCTCTGGGGCCCGATCCTCAGGGATGGGCTCCCTCTCAAGGTCTGGGTCTCAAGATGGACCAGTCATTAGTTTCCGTGCCACCTTTATCTTAACACATCTTGCAGGCAGGACAAATTGTAGGTCCAGTGTTTTGTGGCTGGGTTGGTGTTCCAGTCCCTCCACTGGGTATGTATGATATGCTATATAGGGTCGGTGCTGAGGTGTGGGGAGTGAAGGATAATGCAGCCATATTCAGATAGTATAAATGTATAAACCAAGAACACCTGTCCTGACTGATGGACATTTAACAACAGTCCATTTATTATCATGGAGCCTTAATTTATTTGTATAAAGTCAAGTCATTTTTTTTTTC